TAATTGCTTCCTCATCAGCAGAGACATAGTTGTCTTTGCCAGATTGAGGAAGAATGGATCCAAGTCGTCACGTCTTTTTAACAGTCTCCAATGATATGGCCACTGCAGAAGACCCTGTGTCGATTAGGGCATTAAACTGTTTACCCCAAACTTCACAGTCACATTCCGCACTTTTCCATAGTACTGGTCGAGCTCGTACGAAGTGATCCTTTTCTGCTAAAGAGATCACTGCTATTCGTGCGGCTTCGGGTTCTTTCGTGTCAGGCTCGGGAGGTGCAATCTCCTCGTTTCCTTCCTTCTTCTTCAACATCCGTTGTATGCGCTGATAGGTGAAGCGCTTTTGATTTTTCTCGCAATGTTGTAGAAGTTTATCGTTCGCTGCTTCAGATATGGTGAGCAGATGTCCTAATGGGATAGGTACACGAATATCTAATTGCTTGAGCGTTTTCAATACATCAATATCTCCTGTCCGAAACTGTGGTCCAGGATTGGACTCGCGATCGACCCACTCGAGATCATCTTGGGCCGATCGGATCGCTCTGATCATTCCGGCAAGATGAAGATACTTGAGGGGATCGACCACGTCAGCAGCATCAGAGGAAGAAGCTCCTGAGGTCGACGCTATTATCGCCGAGGAGAAAGGCTGTTCTGGAGCATACGCTACGAGCTCTCCTCCCTGGTCCGTGTCCATAAGAGCGGCCACTCGTCCTTGATTAAGGGCGACAGGGGCCGGAACAGGGGGAGGCTGATTACGTTTCGGCTGCTGACAGTCTCAGGAAAAATGCCCGGGCTGTTTGCAGTTGAAACACTCGATCTTTCCTGTCTGATTAGCAAGATGGGGATACTGAAGGGCGAATCCTGGAGCACGCGGAACAGGTAAGAGCGAAAACGATGCAGGGGCAGACCGAGCAGGAGTTGGATTAGGCTTAATGAGCCTGCTCATTATTTGTTCCATTCGTTCCATATGAGCGGCCTGCATTTGGATCAGGTTGCCCATCCATTCGGACTGCTTAGTAGTAGCCGTGTGGATCATCTAGGCAAGGTGTAGATTGGTTACGGCCGACGAGGGGGGTTCAGATGAAGTTCCACTTCTAACGGTTGCGATCGATTGATTCACCGGGGGAGAGGGAGGAGAAGCAGCCGGATATCGGAAACGATCCCACCGGGAAGGTCATGGTCGGGGCGGGGATAAAACCGTTCGACCGCCTGTAGCCATGATCGCCTTTTGGTCGTTACATCCCGTATGGTATCTGTAATGTCCTCGTCTCCCTGGCTGATATATTTTTTTGTATTTGCCAAGTCTAGCTCCAACGCTTTAGTGATGATAGCCAATAACTGGTGTGTTTTCGGCGGAATATTTTTCTGCAATTTCCCTTTCAGTGTCGGACTTCGTAGGTGATCGATGAACAAATCTCGAACGGATTTCTCATCCCACCCGGATTTGTCCAACGTGGTTTGAAATCGATCGACCAAATCGGGCAACAACTCCCCTGGTCCTTGGGGTCGATTTTTTAGCACGTACCAGGCGACATCTTCACTGACTGTATCGAATCGAGCCAAAAAGGCTATCTTGAAAGTAGCCCAATCTACCCATGTATGTTTCCTAAACCAGTCATGTGACGTGTTGCGGAGTAGCAATGTCAGAACGCGGGGGAGATCGGCTGCGCTGTAGTTCTGAGCTTCAACAGCTTCCAGCCAAGCCTCGGGATGAGTATGGTTAGGGAAGAAGGGGAAGGGGGCAGGGATGCTAACTATCACCCTCGTACCGTCCACCATTGGTATTGCTGGTGCAGCCGCACTAGACTGATACCTGGTTACTGGGCGATCCGGACGAGTTAGTTGAGGGTCTCTCCTACCTCTCGCCAGTTCGACTTACTATCATCAGAACCGACACGTGTCGGCTCCGATACCAACCTCACGTYCTGTGCTGTCTTCCGTTCGGAGTGTTAGGCAGGCAGAAAGAGGCCTAGAAAAACAGCAAGATGGGATGTGCCAAGGATTTTTGGAAATTGAGTGTGGAAACACAGTTGGAACTGAAATCCCCCTTGTAGGTCCGATGAAGCAAGTCGATTAATTTCGCGCGTCGAGGAATGTGCGCGCGGTCATGGCGCAAAAACAGAAAGATCCAAATTCAATCCAAAAAGTATTGTCAGACTTCCCACCGGGCTACGGCATGTCGTTTAGATCGGAAAGGCTTTGGCACGCTTCGCGTGTCTCGTTTTCGTATCAGATCTCGTCGTCGTTCGCTGGTCAGTTCCGAGTCCAACATGGATGGTCTCAGCCAAGTGACTCTTTGATTATGCTCGTCCTCACTCTGTATTCGGTAGTGGAAGCCCTTCGCTTCGTAGCGATCGAAACGTTGGCACTCCGTGCACAGAGTGCGGGGCCAATGGGGCGCCACTGCCGTCCACGGAATGACGATCAGCTCGTTAAACGTCAACAATATCGAGTAGGGTGGAAAGTGCGTATCGATAATGACAAATCCGGCGTCTACGAACCCTGAACAATGATCGGTCGGAGGGAAGTAATAGTGTCCGCCAATTTGTGCGACGGCTTCTCGTACATCCCACTCACATACACGTGTCCTTTCCTCGTTGTAGGGAAAGGGTCGCGTTGGAATGAAAGATACAGGAGACTGGCGCCCAATCGAAGGGTACTTGTCAGTCCACACGACAATCAATCACAAATATCCCGAGACGTCATTAAAAGCAGAAGCGATTCGCGCGACCCTCAATCAACCCTTTTGACACAAGAGCGAGACCAAACACACATTCACTTGATCATGCATATGACTAAGGGACCGATCCGCGACTCAGTTCAACACAACGTTGGTCCCTGGTGCCTTATTTCTCAAGGCCGCCCGGTGGCTTGGCTGCTGATGTCGTGCAGAATAAGGCAAATGGCATGCGTAGTGCATTCGGAACCACAAATCTAAACACTCTTGCATTCTCGAACAAAATCCCGGCGACAATCGTCTAATCAATACGAAAGGAGTCACACATTCCATACGTGCTTTCACTGTAGAAGGTGCGAAAATGAGACCTGCACAGGATAAGATGGAGCGCATTGCACAGTACGCACGCATCCACCGGCACGAAGAAGAGAGGGTCCTTGCGTAGGAGGATTACCCCGGAAAGTAATGGAAGAGTTCCGAAAGAAGTTCTTTCACACAGAAATAGGATGCCGACTCATTCCCATTCAAGAGAAGGACAATCATTCAGACGCATTGTCTTTCGAGAAGAAAGAGGGAGAGAGAGAGAGAAAGGGAGTCGAGGGAAAGAAAGTCCAAAATAGAAGATGACAAGGTCCAGGAAGAGAAAAGTTCGGCATCACCGCCGTACACCTACACCAAAGATAACAATCCGCAACAAAGGCGCATTCGCCGTTAATTCTAATATGGCCCCGGGCCAATCAACTCAACATCGATCCTCATACCCGCACCGACGATCCCGGCCGTCGCGTGCTAACTCTCACCACTCCGATCGTCACCCCGCTGTCGTAAACTCGACACGGTTCACCCAAATCCCACAGTCCGTCGTGGCGATCCAGCGCGCAACCGGTCAGTCTATCGTCAGCCCGACAGGACTTTCCGAGTCGCTTCAAACACTCTGCCTAGCCACTGCTTCCCAGAAGCTGGCTTGAGAGTCGAGAACGTAAGAGAGATTTGCGGACGCGCTTGCGAGTTTTTTAGTTGCGACAGGGGAGATAGAAGGAGGAGAAGGCGACAGGAAAGCTGAGGTGTAAAAGGAGAAGCAGGAGGAGAAGACTTTCAGAAGAGTGCTCTACGAACGCCATGCTGATCCCTCGGAACTCAAGGTTTAACCAATCAGATTCGTCGCGCGATAGGGAGGTCCTATCGATCACACACCTGATTCGCGAGCGGGAGTTATCGGGGGATCGACCGGGCGTCGTACGCCAGACGTAGAGGGTGAGAAGAGAAAAGGCGCGAGAGGTGGCGCAAGACGGGTCCAAGATTCAGATGATCAAGAAAGGGAAATGGGCGCGCGAAAGCAAGGCGGGAGAGAGAGAGAGGGAAAAGGAAAAATAGTTACGGGGAGAGAAAAAAAGGAGGGAGAAGGGAAGGGAGGCGGGGGAGGGAGCGATGCGGGGGACAGAGAGGAGGAAGCTTTTGCATGCATGGTGCTGTCAACAAAAAAAGAAAAAGGCACCGAAACAATTACAGCTTGCTTCTATCCTAATTCAAAATTGAAATCACCATATCCATGCGCGAAAAAGCGACGCGGGAAAAGAAAATCCTACGCCTATTCGTATTCACGCAAAATTCCGAGAGTTTTCCCCGACGTGCCCAAGAACATTCACACACCCAAAAAAGACACGTCGAAGTTCCGCTTATCCCGGAATTCCCAACTACCGAGCCCAATTCCCAGTGCGCTCGCTAAGGCGCACGTAAATTCCCATGTATTTCCCGACTTTGCAAGAAGAAAAACAGAACTCAGCAGTCGAAAAAACTCTCAAAAAGGAGAATGCGGCACCCGAAAGCAAGAACTCAAAACGGGGTTTTCCTGGGGTTGGTATGATACTAGCAAAAGAAAGGGTACGAAAGATGGTACGGGGTCGGGAAGTGGTTCGTCACAAAGGGCAAAGGGCACGAGATGATTCTTTGTGAGGACAGAGAGAGGGTTGAATGAGGTTGTCTGAGGGATACTGGCTGGGGGATCTTTCATTAGATGCGATTGGCATCGGGCAGCTTTAGCTGCCGGATGGGTATCGGCTGATGAGGGAGCATCTTGGTGCGATTGGCCTAAGGTAGCGTTGGTTTGCCCTCTCGAAGACGGAGACTGGAATCTCCGACGGGGCAGGAGATTGCAGGATGAGGATTGTGTCTGGCTCGTGCTGAGGATATGGTCCTTCGAACCCTTTACTAGGATGGAGTTGGGGAGRGTGAAGGGGGTTCGGATGGGGGAAGTTGGGAACGGATGCGATTGGCATTGAGTGGAGTCTCGATGGGTACCGACCGTGGTCAGTTGACTTCATTAGAACGTACCCGGGACCTCCCCTTCGATGACAAAGACAGAACTGTTGCACTTGTTGGTCTTCCGGGACCTCCCTTTCGATGACGAAGACAGAACTGTGGCACTTGCTGTTTTTGGAAAAAAGATGGTGGGGTATCATGCGTCCTACTAGTGAGTGGGCTAACTGGTAGGATGGGAATAGAGCATAGCAGCAGCAGAGATGGTGGCTCTGCTGCAGTAAGTCTTGCTGGAGTAGGGCTAAGGGGATTGATTGGGGGGTCTGCGAGTACAAGTGAAGTGGACGGGCACTATCGAGCACCCCACGTGGATCGAGAATCCGGAGCTGCTGAAGGAGATCTTTTTGGATTCCTCTTTGGATCGGTACGACCGGGTCGCCGTCAGTTGATTGCACAGGAGCTCATCGCACCGATCGTGCAATTGGTGGACGATCTCTCGCCCGACATCTACTTTCAGAGCGACAACAGTCCTGCTCCGTACATTTTCGAGCAATCCTTGGATCCGTACCTTCAGTGGACTTCGTGCTTGGAGAAACCTAGGGACGAGGATACGCTACCATCGCGGCAGGAGTATCTGAAGTTGTACGAGATCATCCCTTACGCCTTCTACCCGATGGCAGAAGAACAAGTGATTGACGACAACGACGACGAAGAAGAAAACGACGACGAGGAGACATCGGAGGAGGGAAGCTATAGTGAATATAGCGAGGGCGAGTTGAGTGAAGAGGAAGAAGAAGGAACCGGGTCCGAGTGGGAAGCCCCGCCGGAGGAAGTGACACGTATGGGAACGGAGGCGGAAGATCCGGAAGCGGCGCGAAAGCGCAAAGAGATTGCCTCCGGAAAGCGCCAGCTGGAGTTCGCTAGCGAGGCTAGCCTGCGCATCGGTAGCGATCCGACCAGGGATCCAGAGTCGCCGAGGCCCGAAGATGACGACCCTGCAGCCGCCACCTCAAATACTGTGCGACAGAGACGGCGCCGATCCCCCTCCTCCTCCAGCCCTACCCGTCCCCCAGTTCGCCCACGTACCAATGCGGGGGATAGGCCTTCGACCTCGGATGCTGCCCCGCCGACCCCTTGATTTTCTCACCCTCGAGCAGATCCGTACCCCCATCACCTTCCCTTTCCATCCTTTCCATCCCCATCTCTTCCGCGACTTCTACTCTACCTGTCTACTCGCCACCGTCCACCCCTACGCCTCCCTTCAGTCCGCCGCTCCCACGTTCTGCTGGCATCTCCTGCTGTTCAGTGCTGCATAGGAGCAATGCAACGTGGTAGAAGTTTACTGCATCGCCACGGGGACAATCCCCGCTTGCCGCCACTTTGAGATCTTTCGAGCGGTGCTTTTCCGTACCCTCTCCTCCTTCTATCGCGACTACCTCGCGTCCCTCCCCTGCAGTGGCGATCATTTCCCCCGCTTCCACCAAATCATCCAATATGAGGAGCTCCCGGTGACGATGGAAGGGATGAATCGCTTCCTACCCCCACTCCCCCCCCGTCATCCCCGCGTGTTCCCCGGCATGTACCGCCTCTACTGGCCTATTCCAACTAGGCGGTAGATCTCGTTCACTTGA